CTTTTTCAAATTTGCTGAAAACCACAAAATCAAAGAAAGCTTAACAAAGCAAGGCAAGATAAGGAAATAAATGTGGACGGCCATGGTGGCTCATGCCTGTAATCCTAACACTTAGAGAGACAAAGGGAGGCAGATTGCCTGAGCACAGAAGTTCAAGACCAGCCTAAGCAACATACTGAAACTCCATCTCTACAAAAAAATTAGCTGGTTTGGTGGCCTGAGCCTATAGTCCCAGCTACTTGGGAGCCTAAGGTGAAAGGATCACTGGAGCCCAGATAGGTTGAGGCTGCAGTGAGCCATGATCATACCATTGCACTCCAGCCTGGACAACAGAGTGAGACCCTGTCTCAAAAAATAAAATAAAAATTTTTTAAAGAAATGCACACTATAGGTCGGGCGTGGTGGCTCAAGCCTGTAATCCCAGCACTTTGGGAGGCCGAGGCGGGTGGATCACGAGGTCAAGAGATCGAGACCATCCTGGTCAACATGGTGAAACCCCATCTCTACTCAAAATACAAAAAATTAGCTGGGCATGGTGGCGCACGCCTGTAATCCTAGCTACTCAGGAGGCTGAGGCAGGAGAATTGCCTGAACCCAGGAGGCCAAGGTTGCGGTGAGCCGAGATCGCACCATTGCACTCCAGTCTGGGTAACAAGAGCGAAACTCCATCTCAAAAAAAAAAAGAAATGCACACTATAATCAAATTACTGAAGACCCAAAACATGGGCATCGCCTTTGGAACAAGATGTAAGGAAGAATTATTATCATTATTATTATTATTTTGAGATGGAGTTTCGTTCTTGTTACCCAGGCTGGAGTGCAATGGCGTGATCTAGGCTAACTGCAACCTCTGCCTCCTGGGTTCAGGCAATTCTCCTGCCTCAGCCTCCTGAGGAGCTGGGATTACAGGCACACGCCACCATGCCCAGCTAATTTTTTGTATTTTTAGTAGAGTCGGGGTTTCACCATGTTGACAAGGATGGTCTCGATCTCTTGACCTCGTGATCCACCCGCCTCCGCCTCCCAAAGTGCTGGCATTACAGGCTTGAGCCACCGCGCCTGGCCAGGAAGAATTATTATATATATATTTCAAAATCACAAAAGCAGAGAGTATTCATCCACAGATACTCCAGTTATATAATGCTTGGTAACAAACTACCCTAAAACTCTGACTTGAAACAACAAACATTTGATTACATTTCACAAAATTTTTAATTGCTAACATGTTTATTATTGAAGCCAAAGAAGTTATAAATGCATTTTAGTAATTTGCTGATAAAATAGTAACGTTCTATTTTTGCAATCTGATAAGGCATATGGGAAGATATTGGTAAAAGCTTTGATGTACATTTCTATTATAATCAGGTAATCAGAACACATCAAATCACCGACTTTAGTGGTATATCATACCAACTTTTCAGAAAGGTGATCTTGAAACTCTACTGAATATCATCCAATGTTTAAAGACTGGGGAATAAGAAAGAAAGAGATGGAAGTAGTAAGCAGCACACATTTCAAAGCCCACTTTTAGGCCCACAATATTATGAACATTAAAAAATATATATGCTCCCCAAAAAAGGCAATTTAGCATTTTCAGAAAGAGCATTTGGCAATATTCAATGCATAAAGAGACTGTGCTTGGGGCCATCCACTCTCCAGATTTTCAGTGGTTCCTAGTTTTTCAAATGCTGATCAGAGCAGCTATAGAAGGCATCTACGGATCTGACAATAACCATCACCTAGATGTTTGATGTGAAGATGTGAATGAATGCAGTGAAGATGTCAAGGAATGCAATGAAGTTAGAATTTGTAACTTCCATGCTCCAGAAAGAAGGGACCAATTTACTTCAGCTCAGCTGAACTGCTTAATGGTGTTGCTGATCTTCTCAAACCTGTGGCCCTCATGATGGTAATGGGACATAACCGAGAATATAGCTCTTTCAAACAGCAGAACTTCATCAACTTCTGCACATGTACCCCAAAACCTAAAATGCAATTAAAAAATAAAAATTTAAAATTTAAAAAAAAAAGAATTTGGGCAAAATGCCTTAGGTTCATCTTCAGCTGCTGATCATTGGGAATCAGCTGATAGGCAATACTAGACCAGGCTTTGAAGAGCTTTTCACCCCAGGTGAATGTTTGCAAATAATCACACTCTAGTGGGTGAGACAAACAAATCAAGTTCAGGTATGAATGAGGCTCTGTCCATACTGTTCAGATACTCTTGATATGAAAACCTGTGAACCTAGTGTTCTCATTTCCCCAAATAATAAGGCTATGAGTTCTACTGAATTGAGTTATAGAAAATAGATTTTCATGCCTTTCCTAGTTGTTATTGTTCTTTATATAGCTTACATATTTTCAAAAGCAGGAACCTTCTTCAAGATCCTCAGGGACTCAAAGTTCATGATGGGAACTCAGCAAATGTACCAGGATAGACAGATAAATGGTATTTGCTCATGTCAAACTTGATCTAAAGACTACTTTACCAAGAACATGAGACCCAACAGAAAAATAAGACTTAAAACAAATTTTTTAAAGGATAAGTTTCAAAAAATATATAAAATGGGGTATATTTTAAATTTTAAAGACTGGTAGCAAGGTAATATAAATTATTTTTACATTTGGCTGGGCACAGTGGCTCATCCCTATAGTCCCAACACTTTGGGAGGCCAAGTTGGGTGTATCACTTGAGTCCAGGAGTTCAACACCAGCCTGGGAAATTGGGTGAATCTCTGTCTCCACAAAAAATATACAAAAAAAATTAGCCGGACATGGTGGCATACACCTGTAGTCCAAGCTACATGAAAGGCTGAGGTGGGAGGAGCCCTTGAGCCTGGGAGGATGAGGCTCCAGTGAGTTGAGATTGCGCCGCTACTACACTCCAGCCTGGGCAAGAGAGACTCTGTTTCAAAAAGTAAATAAATAAATACTTTTAAATTATTTCATAAATTCCCATATAGCAGTAAAAATGTACAACAAGCCCAGCACAAAAGACAGGAGTAAAATAGATCTAACTTTATGCACTGCAGAATCACTTGTTTTGTCAACCAGCATGAGAAACTGTCAGAACTGTCAATCAACGATGCAAGGGAGCTAGAAAAGGTGCCACTTTCAAACAGTACAATAACAGAAATAATGACAACATCATTTTATCAGAGGGAGGAGAAAAGTGATATCAGGATATTTATTTCTCCAGGCCTCTCATTAAGGGGTAATTATGGGCTGGTTTTGTCTGTAACACAGAGCCTGTGACCTTAAGTTCAGATATCAATGTCCTCCTCTCATCTTTTCAGATATTTTTACATCCCAGGGTAATCACTGGATTATCTGTTGTGGTGGACTCTGGACCTTTTTAAATATCTACCAAGAAAGTTTATAGATTCAAAGCAAAAATTCAGCTTTTGGAAAAATGAGATGGAAAATACTTTACTAATAATGTAAGTTAGCATTATAATTTGAATTCTAAAGAGGACTTACTAACACCAGTAGAAGGCCGGGAGCAGTGGCTCACGCCTGTAATCCTAGCACTTGGGAAGGCCGACATCGGTGAATTACCTGAAGTCAGGAGCTCGAGACCAGCTTGGCCAACATGATAAAACCCCGTCTCTACTAAAAATATAAAAAGTAGCCAGGCATGGAAGCAGGTGCCCATAATCCCAGTTACTTGGGAGGCTGAAGCAGGAGAATTGCTTGAACGTGGCCGGGTGGGGGTTGCAGTGAGCCAATATCACACCACTTAACTCCAGCCTAGGAGAAAGAGCAAGACTCTGTCTCAAAAAAAAAAGACTAATAGAGTAATATCTGTGTTTGTTTAACGGAAAACATCATGATTGTTTTGAAGTAGTCGACATGAAAATTTGAATGGATAGTTAAACTCATTATCATTATTACAAAGAATTTCAACCTTAAACTGCTCAGTGAAGGTGCTATTATATTTAGAGTAAAAAAAAATTTTTGAGACAGTCTCGCTTCGTCACCCAGGCCAGAGTGCAGTGGCACCATCTAGGCTCAGTGCAACCTCTGCCTCCCACGTTCAAGCAATTCTTATGCCTCAGCCTCCCAAGTAGCTGGGACTACAGGTGTGTGCCATCAAGCCTGTCTAATTTTTGCATTTTTAGTAGAGATGGGGTTTCACCATGTTGGCCAGGCTGATCTCAAATTCCTGACTTCAGGTGATCTGCCCGCCTTGACATCCCAAAGTGCTGGGATTATAGGTGTGAGCCACCGTGACTGGCCTGAATTCTTATTAATGACAATAAAAGATTATCTGACAATTGAAGAAAAAGTAACAAACTATTTTCTGCTATTTGCCAATATCTACTTATGGGTATGAAGACTGGGCTAGCCTTCAAAGTTAAGTCATAAAGGGGCATGCAGTGTCTGGTCTTGTTCACTGAAATACTTGCTCTGTTAGAGCCCTGAGCTTCTGTGTAAGACAACCATGCTGAGGAAGCCACATTCTACCAACAGAGCCAACAGAGCCCAGTCTTACTGTCAATGGTAACTTTCAAGAATTTAAGGAGATTATCATGAATACATATTAAAAGGGGGTTGTGTCAGTCATTTCAAGCATAAAACCTGGCATTAAGAAATCCTGTTCATGATCTCTCACTGCAGATGGCATAGTTTGAAAACCTGCTTAGCAGTGTCTTCTAAAGTTGAACATGTAATACCATAAACTCAGTAATTTCACTTCTGCATGAACCTCAGCATATACATGTATGTGTATTACATATATAAAAGTACTAAAAACATGTCCCAGAAATACATACATATGTATATGTTATATAAATAATACCAGAAGACATGTATTAGAATTTCAAATCAGAACTCTTCATATCAGCCAAAAACTAGAAACTACCCAAACACCTATCAAGAAAAAATTAGACAGATACATTTTGTGCTATTTACAAAACAGAATAGTAATAAGGACAATCACATAAAGCGACATAAAGAAATCTCACAAACAATGTTGAGGAAAAGAAATAAGACTCATAAAAGCATGTTTCATTATTCCATTTATATAAAATACAAAAACAGGCAACAGTAATCTCTGCTGTTAGAAATCAGCATAATGGTTACTCTTGGGGTGGGGGGTAATGAAAGGAAAGGGTGGTTGGGGTGCTGGTAATGTTCTGCTTTTTGATCTGGGAGCTTATTACATACGTGTGGTGGTTTTAAAACATATCCACAGATTCTCTGACACTCTGCCTATCAAAAGGTGAAGCCAAATCCCTCCCCTTGAATATAGACTGGCCTTAGTGACTCGCCTCTAGCAAACAGAATGCAGCAGAACTGACACGGCATGACTTTGGTTACTAGGTTAGTGACAGGGTTTCGATTTGCATTCCTGCCCATATCTCATGTCAAATTGTAATCCCCAGTGTTGGAGGTGGCGCCTGGTGGGAGGTGACTGGATCATGGGGGCAAATTTCTCCCTTTGGTGCTATTCTCATGACAGAATTCTCTGAAGATCTGGTTGTTTAGAAGTGTGTAGCACCGCCCCCTGCTCTCTTGTTCTGTTCTGGCCATGTAAGACATGCTGGCTTCCCCTTCTCGCTTCCACCATGACTGTATGTTTCCTGAGGCCTCCCTAGAAGCAAAGCAGATGCCAGAATCATACAGCTTGTAGAACTATAAGCCAATTTAACCTCTTTTCCTTATAAATTATCCAGTCTCAGCTATTTCTTTATAGCAATGTGAGAACAAACTAATACAGTTAGAAAAGGCAATACAGGCTGTGCACGATGGCTCATGCCTATAATCCCAGCACTTTGGGAGGCCGAGGTTAGTGGATCATGAGGTTAGGAGATTGAGACCATCCTGGCTAACATGGTAAAACCCCGTCTCTACTAAAATACAAAAAATTAGCCTGGTGCAGAGGTGCATGCCTGTAGTCCCAGCTACTTGGGAGGCTGAGATACTTGAATCTCTTGAACCCAGGAGGTGGAGGTTGCAGTGAGCCGAGATCACACCACTGCACTTCAGCCTGGCAACAGAGCAAGACTCCATCTCAAAAAAAAAAAAAAAAAGGAAAAAGAAAATGCAATAGAGCTTCCACCTGGCTCTCTTTCTTGGGACATTCACCTTAGTACCCAGTCACCATGCTGTGAGAAAGTCACAGAGCCACATGGAAAGGCCATTTGTAAGTATTCTGGTCATAGAGACAGCAAAAGTCTCAGAAAACAGGTAGTACAAACAGCCAAAGAGTGAAGGTGATATAGTTTGGATTTGTGTCCCCTTCCAAATCCCATGTCCAGTGTTAATCCCAGTGCTGGAGGAGGGGCCTGGTAGAAGGTGATTGGATCATAAGGCAGACTTTCCCCTTGCTACTCTTGTGTGAGTTCTCACAAGGTCTGGTTGTTTAAAAGTGTGTAGCACCTCCTCCTTCACGCTCTTCTTCCTGCTCCAGCCATGTAGGATGTACCTGCTCCCACCTTGCCTTCTGCCATGATTGTGTTTTTTTAAGACCTCCCCAGCCAAGCTTCCTGTACAGCCTGCAAAACTGTGAGCCAATTAAACCTCTTTTCTTTATATATTACCCAGTCTCAGGTAGTTCCTTATGGCAATGTAAGAACAAACTAATACAGAAGAAGACTTCAGATTCCAGGCTCCCAGCCTTCAAGCTATTTCAGCCTTGCCTAATTTCAAATTCATCAGTAAAATAAACATTGCTATTTTAAGCCACTACCTTGTGGGATGATTTGTTATGCAGGTATACTTAACTGGAATACACATCACGTGTGCTCACTGTGAAAATTCATTGAGCTGTATAATCATAATATATACACTTTTCCTTAGGTATATAATATTATAATTAGGTTTGAGTAAAGATTTGAAATTAAAATCATGTCATGGAAATAAGCTCATATTTATCAAATTTGGGATGGATTTTATTGAGAAGTTTTATATAAATTCAGCATTCCATATAATTCCTAATACTTTGCTTGTTCTTACAATGACATAAAGAAAATGTAATAAATTTTTTTGCCACACCTCATATAGACACTTTCTCATACCCATCAATTTAGCCTCACACATTGCCTAATTCTCATCATTTACCATGTATTGATTTTTTAAAAGTTTGGACACACTGCCGTAGCAGACTTCTCCCTAGCACTATTTCTTCTTCTTCTGTTAATAGGCCCTCATTGTCCTTTGGGAAACTACCTCCCCATTTATCAATTAAGGTCATGTCTTTTGTCTTCTCTTGTCTTTTCTACTTTTTTCTTTGAGACAGTCTCATTCTGTTGTCCAAGCTGGAGTGCAGTAGCTTGATTAAAGCTTACTATAGCTTTGACCTCCTGGTCTCAAGCCATCAACCCACCCTAGCCCTGAAGTTGCTGGAACCACAGGCACATGCCATGACACCCAGCTAATATTTTTGATTTTTGGTAGAAATGAAGTCTCACACAGGCTGGTCTGTAAGTCCTGGGTTCAAGCAGTCCTCTTGTCTCAGCCTCCCAAAGTGCTATGATTACAGGCATAAGCCACCATGCCCCGCCATTTTTTCTTTTCTTCAATTTTCTTTAAATTAATTCTATTATATCTCACACCCTTCCAATAAATTTTAACTTTCTTGAATTCTATTATATCTCCCCTCCTTCTGATAAATTTCCTATTTAAATTAACAATATTTGGTCTCTAGTCCTTGCAACCAAAGAACACTTATTGATACAGATCTCCAAGTGCTAGCATACTGTCTGACATATGGTTGATGATTGACAAAAAGAAAAGTGTTTATAAATGGTATTGGGCAACTAATTTTTGACAAAAGCACAAAAGCAATCCAGTGGAAAAAGTACAATGATTTGGAATCCATACAACAAATATGAACTTGGATACATGCCTCGAACTATATAAGAAAGTTAACAAAAATGCATCATCGATCTAAATGTACAGCCTGAAAATGTAAAACTTCTATAAGAAAGTTTTTATTTTATAAGAAAAGTTTCTTATTTTATAAGAAAACTTTTATTTCTTTGTGAGCTTGGGGTGGGCAAAAATGTCTTAGAAATAACACTAAAAATGCAATCTATAAAATAAAAAATTAATTAAACTTTATTAAAAGTTAAAACTTCTCTTCAAAATACAGTGTCAAGAGAACGAGGGCCAGGTGCGGTGGCTGAAGTCTGTAATCCCAGCACTTTGGGAGGCTGAGGTGGGCAGATCACCTGAGGCCAGGAGTTCAAAACCAGCCTGGTCAACATGGTGAAACTCGGCCTCTACTAAAAATACAAAAATTAGGCTGAGCATTGTGGTTCACACCTGTAATCCCAGCACTTTCGGAGGCCAAGGTGGGTGGATCACCTGAGGTCAGGAGGTTGAGACTAGCCTGACCAACAAAGTAAAACCCCGTTTCTACTAAAAATACAAAAATTGGCCGGGTGTGGTGGCACACGCCTGTAGTCCCAGCTACTCGGGAGGCTGAGAGAGGAGAATCACTTAAACCTGGGGAGGTGGAAGTTGCAATGAGTCAAGATCATGCCACTGCACTCCTGCCTTGGCAATACATCAAGACTCTATTTCAAAAAAAAAAAAAAAAATAGCCAAGCATACTGATCTGCAATCCCAGCTACTTGGGAGGCTGAGATTCCAGAATATCTTAAACCCAGGAGGCAGAGGTTGCAGTGAACCGAGACTGCACTCCAACCTGGGTGACAGATAAGGATTATGTCTCTAAAAAAAAAAACGGTGGGGTTGGGGGCATTAGGCAAGTAGAAACTTAAGGGTGATGGGCATACTCATTTGATCATAGTGATGGTTTCAAGGGGGTATACATATGTCAAAACTGATAAAAATTATACACTGTAAATATACTCTATGCCAATTATACTCCAATTAACCTATCTTAAAAAACCCTGCAACTCACATGTCAGATTTTGAAGAGAGTGGAAAAGATGCAGAATGAAAATTTCAATTAAAAGCCTCAGTGAAGTTTGTGCATTATCCAAGTATTCAAGGAATTCATGCTTCCTCCAGCTAGCTGAGACTTGCAGAGTTTAATGAGCAATCTCAATACTATTCTTCCAGAAATGGTATCATCCACCATATTATGGCTGTTTTCAGGAAGACAATGACCTAATCAGTATAAAATGAACTCCATGTCTTGTGAGAGATTTATAATTAAACACACAATTCACATTTGCAAACATTTTTAAAGGGCTTTTCTACCTGTAGGATAGGCTTAATATTGAGAGTGAACTTTTTTCTGAAGTTTAGAGCTAACTTTCCAGACCCTCATTATTTGTTGAAAGGCCAGATGGGGAAAATCTCAACCAGATCTCCATGCCTACTTGGAAGTAGAGGTAGTTTTGCAGGGTGGCCTGTGTTCTCCAGATGCAGAGCCATATGGGGGCTTGCCTCTTTATGGGAGATGCAAAACCTAGGCCCTAATGAACAGAAATGGTGTTTGAGCCCACAAACTAGCATTAAGTTGTTCTAACTTTAATTTCCAGCTCTGTCACTTGCTGTGTGGGACCTTATTATTTCCAAAACTCAACTTTTTCAACTTTACAATGTAATTAAAGCAATCTAATTATTCAAAAATGGGATTAACTTCCACTGTAAATTACAGTATATTGGCCAATAATTAACTTGAACACTAAAGCTGGCATTTAATAGGAATTCAACTGCTTGCTAAGTATATACTTAAAAGCTTTTAAAACTGTAATTTATTGGGAAAACAAAGCTTTCTTTCTGGTTAAGAATTTGAGAAAACAAGACCCAGAAGCAAACTAAAAATCAAGTCCTAAAATGGTACAAACCTCAAAAAACTCATCAGGTTTGCCAATAAAGCTCCGCCTCCGTGCAAACCCTGCCCACTTCCGGCTTCCCCACCCACCTCCTTACACTGGAACACCGCCCCTCTCTGCGAGGTCCCGCCCCCTACACCTGATCCTGGTTCCCATTGGACGAATGTGGATGCTGTATACACACCGACACACGCACGTTAGGCTGAGGCGTCTTCGCGCCTGCGCAGCAGCGCTGTCAGGCGGCTGGAAACGGGGGGGTTTGGGGGAGGGGGGCGGAGGTCATGCCTAATCTTCCTCCATAATAAGAAGCGACGTGTCCCGCTGTCCTGGCTCCGTGGGTCCAGCGGGATTGGGCCTGGGCGCTGGAGCTGCCGTGGCTCCCTCCACGGCGGATACCATGGACGCTGTGCCAGAGACCAGAACTCAGCCAGGGGAGGCCGAGACAGCCGGCGATGCTCGTAGATGAGGCGGCGGCGGCGGCGGCGGCGGCGGTGGCAGCAGCCCGGGCTCTCCATGAGCAAGCGGCGGCGGCGACGGGTGCGGCGGCACCGGCGGTTTTCGGTCCCCGGGGAGGTACGAGGAGTTGGCTTCCTGGTGGAGGGAGACTGACCAGTGTGGGAACGCTCCGCGGCCCGGCTCTCCAGCCCATTTGCCCGCAGTCCTGGGCACTCTGCGGGGCACTGCCCTGATAGAGGCGGGGGCGCCCAGACGACTCGCGGGCCCCTGACTTGGGGACCTGTCCGCCTCGAGTGCCAGGCCTTCCGGGCGCGACCGCCCAGGGCCAGGGTGGGCGTGGCCGGAGCGTGGGGGCTCCCCGGGGGCGCACGCCTGGCGCCCGCCTGGTCCCAGTCCCGAAGCCCTGCGCTGCTGGGAGCGGGAGCGCGTGGCTGTTTTTTGGAGGTGTATTTAGGGCGCTGATTTGAGGGGATCTTTAGAACCCATGAGTTCTTAGGGAGTCCGGCGTTCAATGCCCTGGGCAGGTGGTGGGGTCCTCACTGCCAGCTTGAGGTACCAATTGCCTCCGTTAGAAGTCACCACAAAAGAAAGATGTTTGCCAGAGAAATAGAGGTCAGTTTTCCAAGTTTATTCAAATTGGAGGGCCTGTTGAGTCTAGAAAATAAAGCCACTGGAATAATCCTCTAGTCTTTCCAATACAGATCCTAGCTAAACAGCGAAGACAATTTTAAGTAAAGCTCGTTACAGCTATCTTTCCATTATTTCTCCCCACCCCACCCCCTCCATTTTTATTGCAATTTACTTTGGAACAAATCACCAAGTTCATGCTGAAACTAGTATCCTCTAGTTCTTCCAAATTTTCCCTCTTCCTGTTTTTCCCAGAGAAAGACTAAAGTAAGTTGCCATATATATCATTATAGTTTAATTATCTTAAGAGTGTGACTATTGCTTTACAGAGCTAGTTACACTTCATTTGGTCGTGTCTAAAGATAAGTTGAAGAAAATATCTTAGAGATTTATGCTTCCTTTCCAATGCAATATTTTAGGAATCTGACCTCAGGCTCTTAAATCAATCTTAAACCTTGCTACAGAGTTCTTTATAAGTTAATGGAAGTAAACCATAAAGTTATTTTCGTTTTTAAAGTATTCGAATGCCTAATCGTTTTTTGTTTTTTAATTTTTGTTAGCAAAACGTGTCAGTTTCTATTAAGAAACTGAGTTTCCGTTTTCCTAGGTTACAGATTTGCCACACCCTCTTATTCCTAAGTGGTTGACTAGAATCAACGTGTTGGCCAAGTAGATATAAACATCCACACTTCATACTAAATATAGTTACTGGATATTTTAGAGTGCACAGTATCTTGCTTCAAGCTGAAAACTGTGTTCATGTGTGTTTAATATATTGCAGAAGTGAAATTATACTCGTGTTGCAGAATGTTTTGGACTTAGTTTCTTTACGCAAATAAAACCATAGGACTGCAGCATTATTAAGGGTTGAGTTCATGTTGTGTTTGGGAGGATGCAGCACTTGAAAAAATGGTCAAAACAAGACACTGATCTCAATCACTCATTTCTCTGTTTGCCTTCCTCGGATGCATTTTTTCATAACATAACTTCTCTATAAAAGTAATGTTGGAAAACAATATGATGTTTTGAGTTTATTTGCTTGTCCCCAGTAAGGCGAAGCAATTTTTTCAATACAATTGAAAAAGAACTCATTTCATTCAAAAACATGTGCGCTATATAACATAAATGTAACACAACATATTTATTTAAATACTCTCCATGGCTTTAAAAACAAAATGCCTAGGAGTACTCAAGGTTGGGGGAAGAGTGCCAGTTTCAAAAGGGCAGATGCTTTGGTTCATTCTCAAAACATGCATAGGGAATAATCAGGATATTTATCAAGTTCTGAATCAGATAGTATACCCTCTAAAGTTAAAAATTATAGTATAAATTGCACATTTAATAGCACAATTCTGAGTTGCAAATAAAAATCCCAAAGCAAAGAGCAATATTAGCTATGCTACTATTCACTTAAGATTTCGTGATGACTCCTCACGCTGTCTTTTGAAGGTAAGCATCAGAATTAGTCATAGCCTATATAGCAACAGTTCTCTTTTTTTTTACATAGTTTTTCTATACAACAGATAAAATATGTAGTATCGTTAATATAAAGGTTACAGAATGGCTATTATTCTGTACCCCTAATTAAGGATCTCATTGTAAATTTCTTAAGTGGAAACACCCATATTAACAAGAAAATGAAGCACACCCTGTATTGGCAGAAGGAGGAGGTTTACATCAGGAATATGCCTACTCAAATTTAGTTTATGTTTTTAGTATCTTTATTTTCATTTAAGATTTTTTTATTACAGGGTTTTCCTCTATCACAGATAAAATCTGCAATGCAATAAAGTCTATAAAATGGCCACCTATGTCTCAAAAAAAGACTGCAGTTTCCTAAATGGCCTTTCCAGAAAGCATGCATAGTGCCTGAAAAGTGGCTCATTTAAATTTTTTGGCTACTTTAAGAAGCCTAATAACCACATTTGATTTGAGTCTTTACATATATTATTTTCATTTAAATATATTATGCTTTTAATATACAAAGTCACAAGTTTATGAGTTCTGTTTTAAACTTTAAAATGTAGGATGAAGACACTGTTTGAAGAGATCAAAGCATCAATTAAAAATAACTATAACCAAGATCGATCATTTTGGAGGCCTGTTCTTCCTTGGGGGGGTGTTTTTACTATAAAAGCTGGCCGCAAAGCAGTATCCTGTACACCACTCTATGTTGAAATAAGACTGAAAAATACCTGCACCATAGATGGATTCTTGATGTTATTATATGTCATTCTTAATGAAAATGAAAATTTCCCCAGAGAACTCTCTCTTCATTTTGGTAGAGAGTTTGTAGACTGTTTTCTTTATTTAATGGACACCTACAGTTTTACAACTGTGAAGCTACTTTGGATTTGGGACAAGATGGAAAAACAGCAATACAAATCTGAAGTTCATAAAGCTTCATTAATAATTGATTTGTTTGGGAATGAGCATGATAATTTTACAAAAAATCTTGAAAATCTCATGTCTACCATTCAAGAGAGTTACTGTTCCAACTGGCGATGCCCAACTCGAGTGCAGGAAGATCAGCAGCGCACAATTAATATAAAGTAAGTTGGTCTAACGGCTGTTTCGTCACTTTTACTTTTTTTAATGAATGTTGCTTTAGATACGTAATTGTGTACCCCGAAATGACATTTGGGCAAACAGAGGACCACATATGCCATGCTGTTTTGTAAGACAGTGTGTATTTATTGTACCCTTCTGTGTTTAGGTACACACAGACTTACCATTTTGTTAAAATTGCCTACAAGATTAAGTATAATAACGTGCTGTACAGATTTGTAACCTAGAAGTAATAGGCTTTACCATATAGCCTAGGAGTGTAAAAGGTTATACCATCTAGGTTTATGTAAGCACACTCTATGATGTTTACACACTATGAAATCATCTAAGGATACGTTTCTCAAAATATGTCCCCATTGGATGACAAATGACAGTATTGCCAAAGTACTTGTTAAAGTATAGAGCCTTTGTAATTACTTACACATGAAGCAATCACACAAATGCAAGACTCTTCTGCAGGTCCCCTGAAAACAGTGTTGCAGCCTATTACCTCCAAACATCTTAGAATTACTTTACAAAACCAACTGATAACCTTGTCAGTAGCAAAGTAATGAATTACTCCATATGAAAAATGTATTACTTTTACTTGAGTTAACTAATATGACTATAGATGATACTTAGTGTAACAAATTTAACCTCTCTAAGAGCACTTAATACTGTTTTGGAATGTTTCACCCTTTGAATAGGTCTCTGTCAAAAGGTCTAGTTCCACGTGAATAAGAAAATTAAAAGTATTCTTTCTTATCATGGCCAAGACATAATTATAGACAGAAACCTAGAACTTGGCATCTCACATGTAGATGTGGATGTAAGCAGCTTTTATTTTGACTAGGAAAGGTGCAAAGACCCAGGTGAGTGTTTTTGGCTTTCAGAGAAAAGGCAGATCTCCAGCTCAGTAAATGATAGGGACAGAATCCAAACTGGCAAGCCCTAGTGGAGTGTTGGGAAACATTAAAGCCTCCAAGGGACATGAGCTGGAAAGGGGATAATTGCCAGTGGAAGAAAAACAGACCCAAACACATTGTTGGCAGAAAGGTATCTGGCCCCACGTCCAGAAAAACAGCCTGATAGATTGTTCCCATTTGGAAATGTACATTACATACCCTAATTCGTTAAACTCACATTTCTCTGAAATATACTTTGTCTGTTTTCCTGTATTGCTAATTTGAAATACCTATTAATGTAAATGATTTTCAAGTCATAAAGACAACTCAGAAGTGTTGCAATGATCACAGCTCACTACAGCCTTGAACTCCTGAGCTCAGGTGATCCTCCTACCTCATACCTCGCCGCTTCAGCCTTTCCAGTAGCTGGGACTACAGACATATGCCACCATGCCCAGCTAACTTACTTATTTATTTTTTGAGACAGAGTCTCACTCCATCTCCCAGGCTGAAGTGTAGTGGTGCATTCACGGATCACTGCAGTGTCGACTTCCTGGATTCAAGTCATCGTCCTGTCTCAGCACTCCCAAGTAGCTGGGACTAGAGGCATGCACCACCACAGCCAGCTAATTTTTGTGTTTTTTGTAGAGACGGGGTCTTGCTTTGTTGCCCAGGTCTGTCTCGAACTCCTGATTCACCTGCCTCACCTTTCCAAAGTACTGGGATTATAGGCGTGAGCTACCAGACCCATCCTAATACCTTGTTTTTTTAAAAACTAGTTTCTTTTCATCTGTAAATGTTTTGAAACTATAATGAAATATTTATAATTCTATATTTTATACTATTTAATAAAATATTTTTCATCATACTCTATAACTTTTTAATTTCTGCCTACTTTTTAAAAATCCTATATTTAAAACAACCTCTGAAGTAATGTAGGAAAAAAAATTTTTTTAACAGATCAGGTACCTGAGGCCAAGAATGATTATAACTTACATTTAGTCAGGTAACTAGTCAGCTGCTCTCCTGATTCTGGGTCCTAGTTCCTTCCACCAGACCAGATTCCCTCATTTGAATCCTCTCACAAATGTTTTAGATTAACGTAGCAGCAACTGGATATATCAGGATGGTTTATACAAGAATGTTTCCTTGAAAATTTCATACATTAGTGTTTATGGAGTTCAACTAATTTCTATACTGTCTGGAAGAAATTCCAAAATGTGTAATAGAGGCTGTACTTGGGATAATTGGTTTTGCTAATAATGGATTGAGCTGTAAAATGTGTTATAACAATATATTAAGATGTAAAATGTTGAAGCAGCTCTTACATGCATTTTATAATTATTATAGTCCTCCTCAAGAAATTCCACATGGAAACTTGATAAGACTGGCTGTGGATGAGTTATTCTGTTCCAAGATTGAACTGTGTGAAGAGCATGGGTGAGTATATGACATGACAGACGTTTAAAATGACAGTATGTATGTGTTTATAAGGAAACCTGGGCAGATGTGCTCCTTGAAGTAATTTATGGATCTTATTAGCAAACCTAGTTTACTGTGACATTTTATAGTGTTTATTATGGAGTATCACTACATAGAATATGGTACTACCACTGATTGATGAATACAAAGCAAATACCTTTTCTTTTTTTTTTCCTTACTGCTGAGTAGGTACAATAAAACCTTGGTTAACCGGAACCCAGCTAATCGGGACCCTCAGTTATCTGGATTTTTTTTCTGCATTCCTCATTTAGGAGAAAGAGGTAAATGACAACTAAAAAACTTGACCTAGTAAAAAAAGAGTTCAGAGAAGCAGAACATATTCATCCCAATTTCTTAACAATTTCTGTTAGTACATTATTGTATAATGAGAATTAATATTTAGAAGGATGATAGTATAGCTAATTAATTACAAAAGAAGATAAAATTATGTTCTGTTAATTGTACCTATTAAGTCTAGAAAGTGAACTAATATATTGTAGCAACAAATACTGAAACAGATGGTTTTCTGGTTAATTTGGTTTAGTTAATAATGTCTGTTAACCAGAATACTATACCCTGAGCATTCCGGTTAATCAAGATTTTACTGTATAATTGAATTTGTTATATTCTGATCCATATACATAATACCTCTATGAGGAAGCAGAATTTGTTCATGCTTATAAAAGAGTCTAATGACAAAAGGAAGCAATTAGAGTCATATTATTTACCCTTTCTGCCATTATTTGAAACTAGCATAGAAAGAGAAATACAAAAGCATTCCTATCAGTTCTGTAGAGTTACGCTTTCATAAACTTATATAGAAATAGCTAGCATTTCCTGGAGTTTTAATACGTCATTTCTAGTATAAGGAACACAGCTTATAAACTTCTAGAGCTATTAGGTAATATAAGGTACTAATATAACCATACTGTTACCTATACCT